CGCCCCCTCCCAGCTCCTTGTGCACCTCCAGCCTTCTCAGCTGGTAGAGCATGGGAAACTAAAAAGTCCTTGGCCAATGTAAGCATTACCTAGCAACAACTAAAACATCGGTGCCTTATCAATTTTGTTCCCATCCTAAATCCAAACCACAGCACTGCACCAGCTACTAGGAAGGAAATTAACTCTATCCCTGCCGAAACCAGGACAATGCTTAACAGTGATACCAACCACTGGAGCACTTCTTTTTGGGGCAGAAGCGTATTATTTCACAAGAAGAGATATGGGGCTTAAACCGATTTAACTGAGCTGACTTTAAATTTGTAGCAGTCCTCTGGCCATACAGTAATTACAGCAAGCTCCAATTCCAAGGTGAACTGATATTTCTAATGCAACTAGAACTACTGCAGTTCCTCAGGCTCTTTTGGTTAACGGCATCTGAGGATATCTGGGTGGTTGGGGTTTTTTTTCCCCATTTCTGATGACATGTTCTTACGTTTATTTACTTGCTTATTGATTGACAGATGAACCCAGATGATGTTGCTAGGCAATGATGGCAATTCATGAGCAGAAAATGTCCTCTTCCTTAGCTTTTCTAAATATTTTGCTATGGTTGTCTGGAGAAGTAGGGAAGTAACTCCCTTCCATTCTGTGTCGTCTATGGAGAAGACCCAAGGAAGCATGCTTGCCATTTTCTGGGCCTGCTCCCTCCGCTATACTCTTCTGCATGCAAAGAACAGTAACTTGCTTTCAGTCAGACTGATACCTTTTAGCTAACGGAGGAAAATTGTGAAGAATCAATTATTCATGCTGAGTGCACGTTTGGTAAGATTTTATTCCTGCAGGCCAGCCCTTGCAGCAGCTCCGGTGCAGTTACATCCAGTGCAGTACAGAAGAGGTAATTTGTGTGGTAGGAAACGGTGCAAGGCTCTTAGTGCTCCCATGTCAGAGGTTTCCGATACGTGTCAGGAGAAGCTAGCCCAGCTGCTTGTGAAATGTGAATGAAATGAAACTTACGGGAGAATAAACAGATCCTTCTGTCCATCCATCCTAGTCCTCACAGCACAGCACTCAGCCCCTGAGGTAAACCTTGTGTGCCCTGTTGCTAAACGTGTAGCAGCTACAGTCAGCTTATTTTTTGTCTGGAGCTGGGTGATGGCAGTGGTAGCCCAGGCATCAGAGGTGTGTATTTAGCATTGTAATGGATCAGTGTTTCCTAGGGAA